TCTTTAAGAAGGGATTTTGGCTTTAAAAGTTAGTCTCTAATCTATCTTCAGCTATTGGGTCCTAAAACAAAAAATTGCTCATGAACAAGTTTTTCTATTACTTTGTATGACACAGATTTTTTTGTTTGTTTGTTTTCACTAAAGACTTAAAATCAGTACAGAAAAAAACTCAAGCACAACTCCCACTTCCCAAGGCCCCCTGAAAACCCTAAAAACCAGACTTAGTGTTCACAATCAGCCTTCAAGTGCCACAAATATTGAAAAAAGACTAATTTCTTCCAACACACCTTAATTCTGCCCGTGGTCTGCATTGTCACCTAACTTTTACACACTTGCAAATAAAACCAGTAAAACTTCTTTAGATATTCAACACTAGAGTTGGATTAAAAACTAATAAAGTACAAGTTGCAGATATTTTTCAAACAATAACTGGAGTGCAGAGCAATTTTAGTGCCTTAGGAATCCAGCAAGCTTTAAAAAGAATCTACAACCTGTTGGCAGGGCTCTCAGCATTGCAGAAAGAGCAAAAGTTCAGCAAACTAGGAAAACTCAATTCAAAATGGGAGATGAAATAAATAGTCCAGTGAAGTATGGACTTGTTTTTTCCATGACATAAAAGCAAACTTCTAATTTTATAATTAAATAAAAAAAAGGGTAAAGAGAAAACTTGGAGCTTAGCAGAATTGTTAATTTTTTCTGCATGTTTTGGTACAACAGTATTATTTGATGTGTCAAATCTCTACATTCAAAAAGCTCTTGCAATATGATGATAAAAATAAAACTCAGACCATTCTTGTTATGCAGAACAGTGATTAACAAAGGCTTTGTTCAATACAAAGAGCAGTGAGGCATGTTTTTGCCATGAAAGATAAGGGATCTTTTGACAAAATTTTGCACTGTAATGATTCACAAGGTGACCTCCTGGTGGGAGGCCAAGCTACACCTCCTCAAATGTGGGAGTGTGACAAGAGAGGGAATTTTTTGTGGTTGTTTTGCCATCTTTCATGGGAAGTTGCCTCTGTGAACTCAGACTGATTAGAAACCAGAGAAGGAGGGGTACAAACAGTGGTTGTGACAGCTGGTACTGCATGAATTTAACAAAATCACTCTGTCCTGAGCCAGCTGAGGGACTGGGACGGGGGATAACTGTAATAAATGTGTTCTTATTTTCTTATTCATCTCCCAAGCTGAAATCTGGGATCTCACTCACTACAATGGACACCCCGGAGCTAATAACACCAGCTCCAGAATTATTGGGGAATAAATAAGGAAACACAATTCTAAGGGAAAGAAGATACATTTATAAAGGTGAAAAGATCACCTGCAGCTGCATTGAAAAGAAGACACCGTGTATGTAACAGAGCAAAAGGATCCTACACAACAAAGTTTCTGAACTACCTGGGTCTCTTCAGTGACACAAAAACTGCCAGAAGGAGAGAGGAGTTAGGGACATTCCAGTTCTGGAAAAGTTTTCTTTTCCTCATTATTAGTAACTCTAATTACTTTGAAAGAAGAGCAATGAGATAAATCCTGTAGAACCAGAAATGTGACCTGATTTCCTTCCTGATTTAGAAACTGTCACTTTGCAAGAGAAACCCAAAGAGACAGAGCCAGGTCAAAGTGGGCTCCTCAGTTTGGTCTGCAGAGTAAATAATAAACCAAGATCAATAGAAATATAACCAGGGTTTCCTTTTGGTAGGTGTTCATAAGGACAATCCTATTTAAAGGATAAATAAACACATGTTTGTCTGAACTGATTGCAATTATCCATGACACCATGGAAGAGATATTCACTACAAGCAAACAGAAATATACCCCACAGACTTCATGTATTCTGCTCCAAGTTAGATGGTGAAAGGAGGGAAAAGTGATGACAGAACTCCAATTATAAATTGTTTTATACCATGACTAAGGCCCTACCTCAAGACAATGTGTAAACCCAAAGCAGAAATTCAAGTGGATATTTAAGAGTGATACTGCTTCTAAGTTACCAAAGTTCTATTTAAGAGAACTGAGAAATTAGTTTATGTCACCTTTTAACAATCAGGTCTATAATTTTCCAGAGTAAATCATCAGAGACAACTTACGAGGTAGCAATTTTCAGGAAGAACTGAACACCCGATCTCTGAAAACAACAGGTACCTTTTATGATTTTTCAAGTTGAGCTTTCAAAACCTAAGGTACTAAAGATTATAACAGATGAAAACAAGTTCCTTCTGAAAAGTAGGAATAGGATTTCCAAATGACCACCAACATGGTTTAATATGAAAATCAAAATGTTCTTTACTCTCATACATGCACAAAGGATTCCTTCAAGACACTAAACAGAAAAGGGTAATGAGAAGTTAAACCAATCCCTCTCTAACATCATAAACAGAATATTTAAAGAAATTAAAAGTAGCTATATTTCATTAATCTCCCAGTCAGGATGACATTTCCTATCAGTAAATCTTTAAACATAATTTTGACAACGTGCTTAAATCAAGAACACAGCAACTACTCAACCTTTTCCTGTCACATGTAAAGGTCCTGGGAGGCAGTAGCTGGTGCCACAGGTGTTAGTCCATCACAGTGAGAACCGAGGCCACTTTCTGGTTCAAGCCAGGAATGAAATGCTCTCAACTCTGTTGCAGTTTTAAAGTCTGTACCCATGAGCTGTCATTCAGAGTCACAAAGTCTCGTGGTCTACATACCCCCTTCATGGTCAAGGTATTTAGGCTACATACCCAATGATGCAACTGAATACCTTTGTGACCTCTGACGAATGATTGAGGGCATGAAACAGGATCCGTTCCCTGCCACACTGTACAGAGCCCTGGCATGCTTTAAATCTGCAGGGCTCCTTGCAGCACAAACCACTTCTGTGTGAGAACTCTGGCTTTAGAAGCTGACCCTTCATGCTTCTAAAACCCTCAGAGCCTCAGACAGAAGAGCAAAGCTGCACTGTGGATGATTCAGAGTGAGTGGCAAGAGCTGAGAAAAACCATGTTACAACATCCAACTCCAATCACGAGCAAGTTCAGTAAAATATTAATCTGTGATTATTTCTGGCAATACTGCGATCTGCCCCTTACCAAAGTTACATAAATTCCACTACTCAAGGCTGAGAGCTTTTGGCACATTAATCTAAAAATACCACAACTTCCATTGCTTACACGTTGAGACATTTGCTCCAAAAAGATACGATATTTTTTTATTAAGGACCCTCTGTTTCTGAAGCTCTCTGTCAACCACATTTCCCACTTGAAAAGGCTACACCAGATTAAAAAATGATTAACAAAACCAGTGGAAATCACTCCAAATCCAGCTGTATCATTCCCATCCCATCCTGACGCTGGGCTCCCCTCAACTTTTTTGGAACCAAGTCTCATCAAGGCAATGTACCCAAACCAGCAGAAGCAACACTTCCAAAAACACCACTTCCTTGGTCCATTCGAATAAGAGGGTTTCACTCCTCACTGCCTCACAGCTCTGACCTTTCCAATTCTCTGCCACCACAAGCTTATGGGATCTGCCGGATCCATCTGCGTCTCCACCTGGTCTGCTTCCCCACGCCAAAAGCAGGGATCAAATATACGTGTCTGAAAACACATCCCTGCTTTTTCTTCATACCGAACGGGGGGGAACCCCCTCGCTGGTTTAAGACAACAGGAAGCCTCCAAGACCCCTTCTGCCAAACCCCGAAATCCTGGGAAATTGCAGCAAAATGAACTTCAGCACCTTGGACAGGACACACAGCCGGAAAATCGCCGAAATCGGCTCATTAGCCCCGAAAATGCTGTGTCTGGACATGACCCTCTAGGACACATCTGCGGGCCTGTTTATTTTTAGTATTGACAAATCCTCTTTGAATCACCGTGTTTATTCCACCATGCACCCTGTGTTTTTTTGGGAAGAGCTGCTCGCCAGCCCGGCAGTGGGAGAGATCGGGGCCACCAACTCCGGATCCAACAGGAGCAGCCACTGCCCCGGCTGTGCCTGGAAAAGCTTGGCTCAAGCACTCACAAGGCTCAGCTCACCCTTTGCATGGCAAAACGAGACCTGTTGCCGTAGATGTGCCTGGCTCGTGTGTTTATTCACTTTTTAGAAGCTCATCTTCACCTCCTCACCCAAAAATCTCCAAGAAAAATAAAATCGAAAGGTCTGAGTTATTCCCGTTGCAGCCACACTTCGGTTGCATAAGTTTTGCTTTAATTTAGCTTTTGTTCTCTCTCACGGTGTTCCCAGTATGTCACTGTTCCCCTCAGGGCTGCCTTGATAAAATCATGATCACCTTGCAGGAGTGCAGCAGAGCTCTCCCCGATTTGCTTTTATTCATATGAGCCAAGTCAAGTTTTTGATTTCTGCCAGTAAAAACTCCAGATTTGTTAAGCAAAGCTGTTCTACAAACAGCTTTGGGGTGCTTCGTGCCATTAAAAAACACACTTAAAATCCGTCAGCTCTTACAACAAGTAATACCAGTAACACCCTTGCCATACAGAAGAATGATACATTTTCTCCGCCACTACAGAAATAACCAGTCCAGCTCATTTCTTCCCTTCAACACCTGCCACTAGCTTTCCACACCAACACATCTGACACCAGACAACATCAACTGAACAATTGCAGAGTATTTTCTGCGCTGTTTGCTCTTCCCGGCACTTCTGGGTGCGGAAGCAAGATGGAAACTAAACTGAACGTCTGCCAGAATTACCTTTAAACAGCAATACGCATCTATACCTGTATGATCCTATATACTCTGCTTCCACAGCCCAGAATAAGCTTTGGTTCATCAACTTCCCTCTGCCCCAGCCCCCGGTCCCTCTCTGCCGCCCTGCTCGGACGGGACCGTCGCGTTTCCGCCTCCAGGGAAACTTTGGGAAGGGAAAACCCCGGCGCTACTCATTCGTCCTCCGCGACGCGCTCCCAGCCGGGCATCCTTTCCGTGTCTTTTTATTATGGTTTTATTACCAAGCAAACAACCAAGCGAACAAAATTTTAAAAAAGAGAAGAAAACTTACATCGGTTTATTTAATTTTTCCTGCTAAACCAAGAGTCCCAGAGCCACTTCATTGTATCCACAGAGTTTTAGTCCGCGAGCGGTCCCGTCCCGCGGGGAGGAAGGGCCCGGCTGCCGTGCGCGGAGCGCGCTGCCCGCCCGCCGCCGAGCGCGCATGGCTCGGAGCCGCCGCGCCGTCTGTGCGGCTGCCGCGGGAGCGGAGCGGAGCCAGCGCAGCCCCGGCCGGGCGGGCGGGCGGCGGGGGGGAGCGGGGAGGGATGGAGGGAGGGATGGAGGCATGGAAGGAGGGAGGGAAGGACGGAAGGAAGGAGGGAGGCGCCGCCCGCCCGCCCCGCCGAGCGCGGCCGGGGCGGCCCCGCAGCGCCCCCTGCCGCCGGTGGGGGCGGCCGTGAGGGGAAATGGCGGGCGGGGAGCGGCGGCGGGAGGCTGTGAGGGGTGAGCAGAAATGATGGCAGAGAGGTGGTGGGGAGGGGGGAAAGAGGCGATGTGAGGAACATTCCTCCCCGTGAGGAATGTTTGAAGAGCTGGGGGTGTTCAGCCTGGAGAAGAGGAGGCTGAAGGGTGACCTGAAGGGAGGTTGTGGACAGGTGGGGTCGGTCTCTTCCATCGGGCAGTACTGACAACAAGAGGACAGTCTCAAGCTACATCAGGGAAGGAATAGGTTGGACATTAGGAAAAAAAAATTCACCTAAAGAATAATAAAGTACTGGAACTGTCTTCCCAGGGAGGTGGTGGAATCACCATCTCTAGATGTGTTTTAAAAAAGACTGGACGTGGCATTCGGTGCTATGGTCTAGTTGAGGTGTTAGGCATAAGTTGGACTTTATGATCTTAGAGGTCTCTTCCAACCTCATTATTCTGTGATTCTGTCTGTGAGAAGGGCTGAGAAGAAGTGAGGGAGGGGGAAGAGGAGGGTGAAAAAGGGATGATGGAGTGCAAGAGTTGTAGACTTGTTTAGTTTGGCAGCAGGAAGCATAGCGAGGGAGCGATATTATCCTAGAAAATACCTCCAAGAGCATCGAGTCCAACTCTTAAACCACCATGGCCAAGTCCACCACTAAGCCCTGTCCCCAAGTGTCACTTCTGGTGCCGTGCTCTAGGGAGTGAGGCGGGATGAATGCAACTGAGGAGAAGAAATTTGGGATAGGGAAGGAAGGGGGAAGCTGCAGTGGAAGGTGGGGGTACACAGGGACCTTGGAGAGAGAGGGTTTAATCAGGGCTGAGGGATGCGGGAGAGGCAGTGGCACCCAACCAAACCCTGATCCTCCCAAAACCTAATAAATGTTCATGTCAGGTGGGAGTGAGTACCTGCAGCTCCTGACCCAGAGCCTCCAGCCTCAAGGAACAGCTCCCTGGATCATGGTTACAGCACAGCAACTCTGATGAGTGAGAACAGCAGCTTTCACCCAAAATAAGCTGCCCAGATCGTAAATGGATAGATGTAGATGAAGAGAGGAGTGGTAAGGATTTTCCAGCCACATTAAGTATTCAAGGTAGTTAAAGTGAAAGAAACTTCTGAAAAACTGAAAAAAAAAAAAAACCCACCTCAAATTACAGTGGTAAAACAGGACAAACAGGAGTCTGGCATAGCTTTACTGCCTCAGCAATGTTTTAGGAAGTGTCTGCTGCCACTCTGCAAAGAGAGTGTGGAGCTGTAACAAATACTCAGGTTACAGCAGCTCAGGGTGGGGAATGGTGCTGGGAAAAGAGCAGATCACTGAGGAAAAACCTGAGGGGCTGCAGTGGCTCTGGGAAAGCTGTTGTTCACTCAAGAGGAGTGGACAGCTGAGGAAGGGCAGGTGTCTGCTCAAGGAGGAGCTCATGCTCAAGGGAATTATTGACTGAGGGATTCAAAATGTTCAAAGATCTGGAAATGCAGGAAATGATGGAGTGTATCATAGGGAAGAGCTGGGTGAGGAAGAAGAGAGAAGGAGCTGAGAAGAGGGAGTGGAGGTCAGAGGCTGGAAAAAGCTTACAAACAATGGGAGATGGAGGGGAATGAAGACCAAAATAAGGCAGAAAAAGATGAACCTAGGGAACAGCCTGTGAAAGCTTAGAGCAGCACAGCAAGATATGTGAGGCAGAAGACAAAGGAAGACAAATCCTCAAATATTAACCTCTCAACATGAGGCTGAAGAGTGGCTGCTCAAAGGGAAGAAGGTTCCCATGAGGACCCAAAGAGATTATGGGGTGGGCACCTCTTCAACCCTATAAAGGCAAATGGTGAGTCCTTGGCATCTCAGCCCCTGTGCCAACACATCTCTGCAGGACATCTCTAAATTACAAGAGAAACATCATATTTTCAGTGGTATTTGGTGGATTTCCAACATATTTTCTAAATTCAACCTAAAAAAAGAATTCACATCAGGGTGAGAAAGCTGTGCAAGGATGGCTGCTGGGGTCACACTGCTCATCCCAGCAGCAGAGCTCTGCTGGAAATCCTCCACACTGGGATGGTCACAGTGTGGTCCCACCCTGTCAGTGCTCTCTGCACCCAGAAACACTCCCAGTTCTTGGGCAGCAGAACCTGCATCCCTGCTGGGGGGTTACTCAGACGTTCAGAAACTCCTATCATCGAGCTATGATGTCAAAAAATGGCATTTCTTGCCCCAAACAGCTAAAAATTATCATGAAGTAGTTAGGTTTATACAGAGAGAAGACACATGAATCTACTGCTGCTTCCTACGAAGAAGGAGTAAATTTAATGGTTGGACTCAATGACCTTGGAGCTCTTTTCCAGCCTCAGTGATTCTCTGATTCATAGACTGCAGCAGAGTGCTCTGTGCTGATGGCACAACAGGTGTTGGTGTGTGTTTTGGGGCTGAATAAAAAACTTGAGGGAATTTTTATTTTATATAATGTATATTTTTATATATTAAAATAGTTTTTAGTGTTCTGTTCCATCCCATTCTTACTCCACTCACAGTTTAAGGTCCTCTGTCCTCCCTTCTTCCTTCAGAGCTGCAATAGCAGTGATCTCAAGGTGAAGAGCAAGCAGCATCTCAGTGTCACAGATTTAGTAGCACAGCCAGGGAAAGGAGGGAAAAGCCACAAAATCTCACCTAATGTCCCACCCACTGGTCCTGAATAATTTCTTGTCTTTCTTTTGCAGTCCATAATAGAATTCTTCTGTAAATTTTTAACTCTACTGCTTTTTTTACAGAGGGAGGAAACACTGTTAAAACCCTGTTGAAGCACCAGGATGACCCATCTGTTTCATGTGTCTTTACAAATACAGAAATTACTCATAATACTAGAAAATCCTCAATCCTGTGGTAATGAAATCAGCTCAGTCTGAACTCAGCTTATAGAAAAAAACCAGCAATATTTACAAGGGGAATAAATCAGATTAATAAAAGGTAGGAAGAAGTACAAGAGAAGGAAAACTACCTTTAAAATTTTGTTCATGCCAGACTGATATGGTTCCCCCATTTTCCACCCCCCCAAAAAAAATCCTTTCCCCCACATTTCAAGCATTTATGTGCTATTTGGGTCCTTCTTTTTAAATTGCCTCCCTGCAGAAGACACAGAAATGTAACCCAGGACCACACAATGAAAGCAGCATCTCCAAATCCCACAGCAAGTGGGGAACACCCTTGGCACAGGAGACCTCATAGTGCAAACACTAGTCATGAAGTAGCCATGCTAATTGGAGCCCCATAGACATGCTGATCAGAGAGAGAAAAATTTATTAAACTCACGCTGCCTTGCCAAAATCTTCCTCTCTGCAAGAAACAGTCAGGTAATGCTGGCTTTCTGAATGTCTGAAAAAGTTCAGGCAAGTCAGCTGAAACCTAATAAATGTGCATGTCAGGTGGGAGTAAGCACCAGCAACAACAACAACAACAACAAAATACTGTGGGAGATCAGTTGGTGTCATCTTTCTCTTCACTTCTCTCCAAAAAAATTCATTTTTCCCCACAAAGTAAGCACTGCATTCTTAAAGGGGTTATAGACAGGAGGGCAGGTTGCAAAAATCCATTTGTTCTCCCAAAGATGCTCACAGAGAAGATGCTCACAGAGCCTTTTCTCTTAGCGCAGTGACATCTGTCACTGCCTTTTTAAGGAAATAAAGAGTCTGAAAAATATGCAGTTCATGAAAGCCTGAGTTTGGGAAAAAGTTTTAGTTTAAAACATAGTCTGTATTTTTTTTTCCTTAAAGCAAGCAAAAAAAAAAAAAAAAAAAAAAAAAAAAAAAAAAAAGACCAAACAGGTTAAAAGTGCTTTTTTTCTTGTGAAATTCAATTTGGGAAAAAAAAAGAAGTATTTTCCTTCACAATTTGAAAGGTTTCTCCATGCCCTCCCACCTTGCAAGCACTCAGTGAAGTGCTTTTGCTTTCCACAGACCTCGACTTTTTATAAACCCTTTTACTACCTGGGATAAGTGCTGTGAGAAGCTCCTTTAGCATGAGGTGCCACGAGGCTGTAGTGCATAAAATTCAGTTTAGCCAACACTTCCCTCTACTGGGAAAGAAAAATACTGTCATTTAATTCCCTTTGAAATAAAGGGAGAGACCAGGGGATCAAGGGGCTTTCCTGCCCAAAGATGGGAAATTTGGGGGCATGTGGGTTGAAAAAAAGGACAATCACCAATACACTGCTCTTTTATTCACCAGGCAAAAGAGGTTTGGACACCCCATAGTGATTGCCCTTCAAGGAGGACACCCATAAATTCCCTTCACTGGTGGTTTCCCAGCCCCACTGAGAGGGAATAACCAAACCAGCAGGGTTGGGACCCCCACACACCACACTAAGGAATAAACAAGGTAAGTCCATGGTACCAAATTCCCTGTGTGGATCCCACACTGAATCACAGCAGGGATGATGTTAAAACTTCATTGTATAACACACTCTGGGATCTGTTTGTTTTTTTTTTCTAATGAGAGCCCTGATTCCTCCTCATCCCCCCCAGTTCACTTCCAATAAGCAAAGAGCCCCTGATGCAAACCCAGCTGTTGTGTCAGGATACATCTGTATCAGTCTTCAGCTTCTGTCTTTTAATTAAGTGTATCATCCTCGTGGAGCATCTCTCATCAAGCATCCACGGGGAAATACTGTAATGCCTGGATAAATTGCTACATTTGTTCAATCAGACTCAAAGATATAACCCTAAAGTGAGCTTGTCTAATTTAATGGGGGAAAAAAAAATTACAGGCTGGCAGTGCCTCTGTCAACGGCTGTGTCCAAGTGTAAAGAAAGCATTCAGTGCTCTGGTAGACATAACA